ACTCTTCAAGGGCTGCCCCATGTAGAGCGCATTGCAGTAGTCCAGTCTTGAGGTCACGAGGGCGTATCCATGCTATCATCATGCCATATTCACAAGATCTTTGGTGGTTCGTATAAATAAGCAAATATAACAGTAGTACCTAAGAATATGAATACACTTTAAAAAACACCCGTGAACTTGGAAAGCTGTATTGAGTCACTGGAAAATCAGAACTGCCAACTAATTACTGTAGAGCAAAATTGTTGTTTTTTTTTACTTCTTCCAATATGAATCAAAGTTTCAGTTCCCCAGGAAACCCATGTGGGAAAAGCACTGTTGAATTCATCGGTTGCCTAAAGCCAAAACACTTGAAGTGTCAAAAAGTAAATTTGAAAATGTGTGCATCTGGCAAGTTAATCCTGCAGGTACTGTCCCTGTCCCTCAAGGCTTATGACTATTATAGAATCTTTGTTTGAATTGGGGCCAAATTGGCTGCTTCTTCCTGGCACTGATCTTCGCTGAACGTACAAGACTAATGCAGAACCATTATTCATTACCCACCGAGACTTTTTTTTTAGTGCTGTGCTATCTTAAAGGCCATCGGTAATTGCTAAAGATTGTAAATGATGGAAAGATTCATGGAACGCCTCCAGAAAAATAATTATTTCCTGCGCATATGATTATTCTACACCAGGGAAAGTGGAAAGGAGGGACGATTGAACTTAGTAAACAATAGCCAGCGTCTTTTGCTTGAAAGAGCTAAATCAATTTGCTGCCTAACGTCAGTGTAAGGAACAATAGATCAATTCTAAAGACTTTAACAAATCTCGGCTTATGGAACATGATGATGCTGTAACAATCAATTTGACACCCACTTGGCTTTAATTCTTTTTGTCTCTTTGAATGTAACAAGGTTTTTGTGCCCCAAACTGGAGTCTGGGAAAGCAGAAACATTCTGACCTCAAATTGAGAAATAATAGAAGAATTCCGTGAATGCGTACAGAATAATTTTGTAGACAATATGTAACATCCTAGAAGAGCTTTATGGCTTTTCATGAAATATTTTTGCTGCACCGTACTAGGATCACCACCAAAAAATGACTGTCAAATTGTCAAATAGCCATCGAACTAGTCAGGTCAGACATGCTTCATTGGATATTGGCCAATGTTGAAAAAAAAAATAATACATAACATAAGATAAAATGCATAACATAAGATAAAATGCATTCTGCCAATTACCTCCCTTCGTCCCATCAGATCGCACAGAGTAGGCTCCCTCCGAATTCCATCCGCCAGTCAGTGCTGACTGGCGACTACGCGGAGGAGANCTGATGTCGTGCATTGGAGCAGTAGGGAGGAGACAAGGGATCCTGGATGCCCGGCAACGGAGGGCTTATAGTGTAAAGAACAGTTACGCAGTTACAGGAGATAATTGAACTCAGCTGGTGGTAATTAGGCTCCTCTCAAGACTATAAAAGGAATGATTGTGCACACCTCGTCGCAGGAATCAATGTGTTTACTAGAGCTGGAGAACTCTCGTGGCTAGCTTGGCAGGCTGGATTGCTGCCAAGGTTAGTCTGTGTGTTAATAAATCCTTGAAGTATCTTTGTCTCGGTGTGCTTTGGTGTAGGACAAGGGGGGGCAGAACAGAAATCTATAAGCACATCCTACTTAAAATGTTCCTATAAGCTTGATAATCCGTATAATCATGTAATCAAAGAAATTTATGTACTTTAAATATTTAGATATTATGCATTATTTCACTTTTAGCAAGCTAATTCGTGTATCAGGGAAATTTGAGAGTGCTGGGGAATTCATAAATCTCCCAGAATAATTTTTAACTGACATATTTGAAATTTTTGCAATTTTCTTTCTATCCACCAATAGTGATGCAATTTGGCAAAGGGAAATCTTGCTGCTATCGATTTCTGACCAAAGGACAGCAATGGATCTGGCTACAAACACATTACTATATCACCTACCATCAATGGAACTCAAAACCGGAATTCATTGTGTGCACTCATACAGTATTGAGGTATGGAAAATCAATTAACATGCTATCAGGAGAGTATGAACCTCTAGCTTAAGGGCCACTCAATCTACAATAATGGTGTCTGTTTCTCTAAATCATGGGTGTTAAACTTGCCACATCCTATTGCTGTCACGTGACATTTCACAACATTTTTCCCAGTCATGGAGCTTGGGTGGGCGTGGCCTGCACATAACGCATCCAGACTGTGGGCCGCCAGTTTGAACCCCTGTTCTAAATGATATGGAAAACTGCAGTCAATACTTTGAATTTTCTGGAATTATAAATAAACATAATAATTAACTTTAATAAGTTATTTGCTATATTTTATGTTACTTTATTTAATAATTGTAAAATAAATCGTAAATAACTTTAATAAGATATTTGGCTTCTCCATGGTAGTAATAGAAATGAAAAAGTTAAAAGTGGCATAGTGACTGCTTCTTAAATCTATGAAATTTAAAAAGTTCTGAGAGTAGGCAGATAAATAATTATTAGAAATGTAACAAATTGTGTCTTTTCAGTTTTCTGGTAAGATAGATGAGGATAATCTTGTTGATTGTATTTAGTGTGGTGTGACACTGGAAATAACACCTGGGTTGGCTCAAACTAGGGAATAAAAATAGGAATTCTAATGTTTATTATGAACTGAGCAGAGTGACATGTTAGCTGGATTCCAAAGAAAATATCAAAGTTAAATCTGATGGTACACTATTTGGAAAGTAGAGCAGCTTGGTTGTTTATATAATACATTTTGGAGCAGCCTGTTGTAGAAATATGGCTAGTGAAAGCAGAAAGCAACCCATGTCATCAAATTTTATGTATTAGTTATATGTACTTATGAAACTTGTTGTTATGGATCTAAAGAACCAGTAATGGTCTCCAAAGCTATGTTGTTTGCCTGAAACCTAGTCCTATCAAGGTATACGCTATGATTAGAGACAATATTTTCTTTTTATTTTACATATATGAATACACTTATTGTAGATATAAAATGTAATCCATTATACATGTTTGAATTAGATAAACTTCTTGTTTTAATTACATAATACATTCAGGTTTCATGTAATAAATAATTAATTATATGCATTAGAGCTTGAAAATGATAGAATGGATATAATTCTCCACGGAAAATTATAATGTTCAATCAGTTATGCAGATGTTCGAGTGGAAAGGCAGCAAAATCTGATTTTAGAAGATGCACCTACAGATATCATCTCTTCAATATTAAAGGTATAACAGAATGCCTACATTTTTTTTCATCAGCAGTTTTAAAGTATTTGGGCTGGATTAATGTGAATTTATGTACACATACAAAATTTTTCTCCAATGTTTTGGCCCAAATGTTTTTTATTTTAACTCTCAAATTTTAGGTAATTTTTTGAATGATATTGTATTATATTGGCTGGTGCGATGAATCAGCAATTAAGTTGCTAGGCTTATTGGCTGGAAAGGGTTTGCATGATGGGGTGAGCACCTGTTTTTGCCTAGCTCCTGCCCACCTGGCAGTTAGAAAGCATGCAAATGCACGTAGATAAATAGGTGCCACTTCTGTGGAGAGGAAAAAGTGCTCTACGACAGCATGCTGGCTACATGACTCGGGAAACATCTTCTGACAGCACCAGCTCATGATCTCCAAATCGACATGAATGCTGCTGCCTATACTTGACAATGACTAGTGAAGTTAAATCCCCAGGGACAACTTACTTTTCTTGTATTACATTATCTAGAGAAAAATCAGAGCAATGAATGAAGTTACATTTTGACTGCAGATAAAGTGCTACATAATTTAGATCAGTGGTAGTCAACCTGGTCCCTACCACCCACTAGTGGGCATTCCAGCTTTCATGGTGGGCGGTAGGGGTTTGCTGTAACTCTGCTTTTTAAATTTTATAAAGTTACTTCCTACTTTATAAATCACCATTACTGTGGAACTGGTTGACTACCCTTGATTTAGATAATATACAGTTGGGGCTACTGTTGTGGAAGACAGTGGGAAGGAAGTGGAGAAGAAGGTTAGTGGGTGTGAGAAGATCCTAACTTTAACTCTACTCCAGGCTTTGGGCAGGAAATGCTTTAAAGCACAGTGACCCTGCCTGTGGAGGTCTGCCTAGGAATTTACAGTTTTCAAAATTATATTTTTATTTCTGAAAAGTGCAAAAATTGCTTTTCTGAAATTTATGTGTTTCTTTCATTTCGGGTTTGCCAACCAACTTGGGGCTTGACTGCTGTAACTTGCAGTGACCTGTTGTATCTTGATACATACCTGTTGTGTATTCATCTTTTCATCTCGAAGAAGCATGTTGGAATGCTTGAAATGCAAAGGGAGGATTGATTCTGAGGTCACTCTTGCTTGTGTTCATGGGACATATGAAGCTCCATATGCACTTCTGAAAGGCTACAGAAGTGTTGTGTTCAAAAGAATATGTGGCTAATACTAATTCCTTTGTACACTCTTTTAAGGTTTTTCTGTCTACATTTATACTTAGCATGATAAATATTTTTGCTTTATTTTCAAGGACAATGTCCCAGATTTGAATCCTCAACAGCATTTTAAATCACTTCAATTAGACACAACGGTACTGAACAGCCAGATATTTTCTATGTCTTCTCATGGTTTACACAAATCTTTGCCTTCATCCTTGCCTGAAATGGCATGTAAGTTATGGTTTTTCTCAAAATGCTAATTTGGAGTGAAGAACTGAAATGTATTATTTGACCCAGTATAGGATAAATTATAAAGATTATAACATAATTTGTATAAAAGAAATTTGAAAGATTAAACTAATATAATATAATGGGTATCATGATAATTTTTAAAATTATTATTTTATATAACATTGACTACCACTGGCCATCATAATGTCATATCAAATCTACACCTGCTAATAATCACTTGGCCCTTATGATTAGATTGCCTGTTTTTCACCTATATTCAGCTACATTGCTTCCATAAAGCCATCTAGTAAATTGAGCTCAGGTAAGGTTTGAACCGAGTCAACAGTACAGAATGAAATATTTGGATGAACAGTATCCCTCAGAATGTTGCTTCAATAAATGCTAACCTATTTGCATTGTAAAGCTATGATAGTATTGTGGTAGAAAAAAACATGTGAAACATTTGGTTCAAATATTTTAGGTTGAACATTATTACAAAAATTTGGATTAGTTTTTAAAATTTATCTTACCCTGAACGCCCTCCAAAAGAAAGCTTAACGAAAAGACCCGAAACACACAAGAAGATATTTTATTCTAGTGTAACCAAAAATATGACAATAAACAGTCAGTCCCTGCCTGTGATATTATTACAACTGTCTTTCTTTCTAATTTCTGTCTTCTGTAACAATTGGTCAAAATTCAAAAATCCACCCTTGCTTTCACATTTATTTAGAACTTTGCAGACAAATGAACCCAAAGCTGCAAATAAATAAAGCAAAAGAATGAATAAGGTTTCAACCTTAAACTACTTATCCAGCATGCCTTTAAGAAGCACTATTTTAAAATACCGTATTTTCACGACTATAAGCCGCACTGAAAATCCTAAAATTTGATCAAAAACCGTCAGTGCGGCTTA